GAGCATAAAAATGTTTAAAGTTAATTTGTCCCATAATAATTACGCTTTTTTAAATTTGAAAAAAATAATTTTTGTAGCAGGGACTGGCCGCAAAATAGCAAGTGAAAAATTTTAAAACGACCCGTAATAAGTGAGTGTAACTAATACTGCAGCAGGCCGATAGTAATTTTCGAACGCTACCAGCAAGAAAGGAATTTTACAATGCCTCCGTATAATTACTTGTCCATAGACGGACAACAAAGCAAAGGAAAAATCAACACACCTAAAACTACAGAAAATAAATGTCAGTAAAATAAACGAGAATAATAACACATGCGAAACCGCGCGTCCATAGCACTCATCATATTAAAAGTGAAAGTATCAGTACCACTACATGCACGTCACAGAAACTCTTTCACAGGGGGAAAAAATTAAAAGGCATAATTAAAATCAGACTAAGTTCAGCAAAAAAAATCTATAAGTTCAAGGGTTTGAAAATTAAAAGTTTCAGACTGTAAAATGGAACATTAACTACAACTGAAACCCTTCGAAAAACGAATTGCAAGTCTTCTAGTCTATTTGAATCTGCACCTACCAGAAGTCAAATACGTAGAAGATTACAAAGCTCAGCAGCACCAAAAACAGTAGACAGGAAATAAGAAGATTCCCTGACAAAGTTAAAGAACTATTCATCACTATCGGTTCCACTATTGACTACATTTTACACCACTAAGAAACATTAATTTTCATTAATCATCAACAAATTGAAAACACAAGACTATGATTCCGAAACCGATTCAGTGCTAGTCAAAATATATCCGCAAATTTTCAAATATCAGTTCTTTATGCTGAAGCAAATCGGTTCCAGTAGCGACTCATTTTTGGTCACTGTGAACCATCAACTTTCATTAATTATTAACAAATTGAAAACACAAAGTTATGGTTTCGAGACGGTTATCGAAACCTGAAGAAACAAATTATTGTGTGTATTTATCAGAGGATTGAATAGGGAATTAGCAAAGATGTTAATGATACAGAGACCTCAAGCTTAAACAGAGGTATACACATATCGCTTAGAAGCCCACAATCTGAGCTTCAGAAACATAATTGTTCACCAGAAGAACAACAAGAACAAAGTGTTTGTACCCATTAACAATATAAAAAACATAACGTTGCACATTATTTCAGGCGTTAACCCTATCATCGTTCACAAAAAAATTACTTAACAAATTGCGACATTGTCAACAGAACAGATTTTTGGTCAGAACTACCTTCAAAATTTTTTCAAAATACTTTTTTCTAGTAAAATAAAGTCAAATAGCCTTTTTTATTAAAATAAAAGATACAAACTCGCCACTAGAAACTATTTGGCGCCCAAGCAGGTGCACCTAGATTGTGATTAATTTAGTGAGTGAATAGTGCTTTGGTGAAAATTCGAATCTAAATAAAAATTTTAAAATTACAAAATAAACTAAATGTTGAGAAAATGAGGAGAACACAGAAATCAAATGAAATTGAAATCACTTTAAAATCTTAAAACTAAAAAACCAACATAGATTTTGGTAAAGTTTTTGGAATAAAGTAAAATAATTTCAAATATTTTAAGAAATTTTTTTTAGAATTAAAATAATTAAATAAAACTACATAAGATTACTAGTAGAAAGATAAAAAAGTGAAATATCCTTCATTAATTTAGGATAACAAGAAGCAAATCAAATAATTATTTTTTTCTGTTGTTTTAATCAGAAATACTAGAGCAATTCCTCCTTACACAACACGCAGCAAGTAGGCAAAGGCCGAAATTACCACAACAGCAGAGTGGGAAAAGGTGCGCCTATGAAGTCTACAACTAGACAAGAAGGAGTTACTGCAAGAAGAATCGGAAAAAATGGAAAAGACTTCTCAGCTTAAAGTTCACTTGAATCTGGGGGAATGGAAAAAGGCTGTAGAAAGGATCTTAGCCACTTAGGATCAAACGAAGGGATTTGCCAAGTATTATGAGATTCTTAGTGCAATCAGAAACGAGATAATAGCAAATGTTGAGAAGGCGCTAGAGGTATATCCACACCACTAAGTCGGAGGAAAATGGCTAAATGTCTAAATCTACACTATTCCGACAGTTGGAACATTGGCAAATTAGAACACCAACTTACAGGTTTGAGCCAAGAAAATAGAAAATCAATACAGAAGCAACTTTAAGTATGGCCAGCGGGAGAATGATTACCTAAATCATTTTTCTAATTCTTGGAGACATGAAAAATCTTATAATGCACAACATTTTTATTCACAATTTCATCAAAACACGTTTAACCCTGCTGACTTGTGTATTATCTCCGAATTATTGTATTTTAGAAATTTAGAAAGAATTTTCTTTTCGAAATTATAATTTTCATAACCAAACAATAGAAATTTTAACATAACGACAATCACACCTTACTTATATACTATGAAAAAAAAATTCTCTACTTTAGTTAGACAACAGGTTCTTTTGCCGACTTTTGAAAATAATTTTAAACTAATTACATACATACATATATAAAAATTTACAATACATATACAAATAAAGAAATTATTAATTATTTTAAAGAAATATAATTAATTTTTTTAGTAACAATTTTAATTAAATTTAAATTTTTGCTATAACTTTTTTTTTTGGAATTTTTAACTAAAAAATTTACATTTTATACTAACAGTTTTTCTTTAAACAAACTGAACATTTTTTAACCAATTTTTTTTATTTTAAGAATTAATTAAATATTTTTAATTTATTATTTAATTTACAATATTCTATAATATTAAATTTTTAATATTTAAATTATAAGTGCACTAGGTGATTCTCAAAAAATTATTAAATTTTATTTTTATACCCTAAAATAAAAAAAAAACAAATTTTTTTTTTCCTTAAAATTTATGATATTCAAAAGATTTTTATTTTAAAATTATTATTGTTTTTTTCAAATGTTCGTCTTTATTATAATTAAAGAACGTGACTTTTGATTCGTAAATGTTCTAATTTGACAATAACTCAAACATTCAATGAAATTAAAGACAAGAATTTATGTCAAAATATTGTTTGCCAACAATGTCTGAAGATAATAAACAACAATTTAATGGCTGTCAAGTTTTAAACACATTTAACTTTTCAGGATACATAGCTAGTTGTATTCTTACCTAGATTGAGAAATTATCGAATATGTGATTATTCAATCATGCTATCGGGGTTTTTACTTAAATATTATTGCTTTTTTCATTGATTAATTCTCTGCCAAATTTAAATAATTTACTTTTGTAGATTTTTTAATGTTCGATTTAGTAGTGATTATTATCGAACAAACAGCTGTTGCAGATCTTATAGTTTTATTTTATCGAACATGATTTATAACGATGATTATAAACCGGCCCTGACTGAAAAAATTAAATAATAGCCAACAATATCACTGCAATTAAATTTGTGATTTTTGACTAATAAGTTGAAATGTTCTACATAATTGATCGCCAATTTTTTTGAATATTGAACAAAAATATAAGTAAGTACAAATGCGCCTAACACCAAATAATTTTTCATAATTTGTTTGTTTCAATTTTTCTCAATTTTGCTGAATATACAATATTTTTACTTTAAACAACTTGTACAACAATTAACAATTTGAAACAAGTAAGGCTGCCTTAAACATTTATTAAAATCGGGACACATACGAAAAGAAAATTGATTATTTAAATTATTTAGTAAGGACATTTTTTCTATAAGTACATATTTTTTAACTCATGTAATAAATGGTAGATTACCATGGTTATACCAATAACCAAAACATATATTTGTATACATATACATGTTCAAATATACATAATATATTTATGTGAAAAAAATTATATTTGCTATTACAAAATTATGATGTAATTTTACATATTTTGGGGCAAAATATAAAGTAGGACAAAATAAATTAAGAACATAAGAAATTATTAAAAGTGTGTAATAAAATAATAATTTAAAATTAAAGTGTAAAAAAACAGAATTTTCGGCTAAATAAGTAAAATTGAATAATTTTCGTGACCCCAATTATTATTTTTATATTGGCCTCAATCTCCATTTCGAGACATTTAAATTAAAAGATTTGACGTTTATCGAAAAATTTCCCTAAGACAGATTTTACTTATTGTATCCATGAATAGTATACCGAATGTACAAATTGGCTAAATATCAAATAATATGTTCAATACCTCGGAATCCAGTACGGACATAACAAACTCATTTATTATTTAACATTCATTATTTCATTAATATATGCAAAGAATTACTCACAAAGGTATGCAAAAATATATGGTAAGAAGATTGAAAATAGGTAAAATTTTTGTTTCGGAAATATCAGCTGTTTTCGAGATACACAGATTTTAGGAAAATTTTTTTTTGCTGAAATTCTTACATATGCTTAATATTAATTATTAATGTGTACATTAATAATTTAATTTTAGTATACGCTTCCTTACAAATTTTGTTCCGCAAAAGAAGAAGCATCAAACATATACTTTTGGAAATTGAAAGGGTCTTATGTAGTCTAATAATTTTTTCGGAACACAAAATTTAAATTTAAATTTTTTTGAGATTTAAGTAATAGATTTTTGATTGCAGCTCACATACCAATACGTATGAAAAGTCACATTCTTTTTATTGTAATTTGTAATTAATTATTAATTAAATTTTAATGATTCCAAAACATCATTTTCTATTGGTTAGAGTTTTTTAATATTAATTTTGTGATTTTGATTTTTTACTCAAATTATTTTTTACTTTTAATTTTTGATTATTAATTTTTGATTAAAGTTTTTAACCAGATTTTTGTTTTTCCTTATTTTATTACAATATTTTGTCCTATATATTTTATTTAGTCAACTATTTTAAAAAACTAATAAACCTAAATTTTTTAATATTTATTTTAATATTATTATTTTTATTTCTTATATAAAATTTTCTCATTTATAGTTTTGATATTCACAATTAAAATTAAAGTTTGTGATTTTTTAATAATCTCTTCCATTTTCTTTTTCTCAATTCTTTTTCTTTTATTGCATAATTATTCCCTAATTTCTAAAAAATATTTTAATATTAAAAAACAAAAAAAAAAAAACAAAAAACAAATGAAAAATTTTAAACAATTTGTGTTTCATAAACAGGATATTTACAATTATATATCCTTGCCATTGTTATGTATTCCTAAATTAGCACAACAATTACTTGTATTTTGACTTAAAAGATTTGCTTTAGCTGTTAGACTAGCTAAACCTATCGATGATTCATTATTATTATTGTGTCGTTGTAACATTGTTGCATCTTTTGTTCTTGCTTGGTCTATTAATGCAGCTGCAATTTCATAAAATAAACGTTCAACATTATCAGCTTCTTTTGCTGATGTTTCCATAAAATACATATCGTGTTGTTTTGCAAATTCTTCACCAATTCGGGTAGGTCTGAAAATATAAAATAAGAAAATTATCTATTAAATAATAATTATTATGTATTTTTAAAACAAAATTTAAAAATTATAAAAAAATAATGAAAAAGATTCATATAATTAATCATGAGTTCTATCCCTCTTTCAATACATTTCAAATATATTATTCTTAAGCCCAAAATCAAGTATGTACTAGGTGCGTTTATTACTCAATAGAATATACCGATGTTTGCAGGCTTATCGTATATTTCTTTTTAATTTAGCATAGCTTAAAATTTAATAATAAATCTTATTAATTTCTAAGATAGCCATAATGTTTTGATTTAAAATGAAAGTTGCCAATCAGAATTCTATAGTTAGCTAAAATTTTGGCAATGTTTCTCAATTAGCTTTTCAACTAGTTCCGAAATTATAAAAAATCAAATTCTGACATGAGTTTTAAGTAGATTTTAGCAACATATAAACGTTTTCCCTTTGCATCATTCGAAGTCTATAAATTTTTCTTTTTCAAAATTAGATTAAAACTTGGAACTCGTTGCTTAGTTTATCTTCAATGTTCTTTTACAAGTTCATCGAAACAGCTAAATAATAGTATTACTAAAATCATATTTAATTGTTATTCTTGTCAGAGTAATAAAATTGAATTCGACTTAAATCTTCATATTATATACAATAAAAATATCCTTAAAGCTGACAAAGTGAAATAACAAATTACTAAATCTATACAGCAAATCAATAAATTTATAATCGAATAAGAAACTCTAATAAAAAATATTTGAATTATAAAAGTCCGTCATTTCAAAGTTAAAACTTTTGCTCACTATATCCTTCTCAGTTCCATATTTTTAAATATTGAATTTTATTGCTGAATTCTAACAAACATCAATAGTGTTTGGTGAAAAAAATTATTGGTTTCCTTTCTTTATTGAATTTTAATTTTGAAAAATAAAGATGTTGAACGTAAAAAAATTTCATCAAAATATCTTAAGTTGAAAAATTTAAGTGAAACCAACTAACTTTGTTTTTTGTGTTTTTCTGAAATCGTGCCAAGAACTTAAAAATTCTTTTTCGATTTTCATGATTCAGCAAAAAAACAAATAAAAGTTAAACAATTTTCTCTTATATTTTTCTTTAAAATTGCAAACTTTTAATTTCATCTCGAAAAATTGAAAACTATACCACATTGCTATAGTGGCAAATCATGTAGGTACCCATTTTCTTTGTATGCGTGTTTGAAATTCAATATGTACGAAAAAACAATTAGAATTTGTACTGTATAGACTATAAAATGTTAAAAAATTGAAAAGAACTTTTGGTAGAAGTTAGAAGTACTGCTCCATTTTTTTTTGATGGTAGACATATGTTACGGTTGTCCATAACCTTTTCATTTTGGTGTTGAGTTTTTCGCTAACACACGTCATTTATGGTGACTAAATCTTTTTTTTTTCTTCCAGAACATTTTCGCACTTAATTATTTTTATTTTCTGCATAGTTTATCTGTATGAATTTTTTCTTTTACACAACAAATTAATATTCAAGTCTTAAAGGATGACAAATTAGGGTTGCCAGAACCCCAAATTGAAATCAGTGATTAATTTTTTTCGACGGATTATTAAAAATTCACTCTCAAACGTAACAATATTCCTAAATTACAACAGTTTGTTTTACGAGTTAAAAATAGTTTTGAAAACTTGTTAGTTAGACCACTCGCTTTCGATTGAATTTAAAATTTAAAATTTATTGAATTTTTCCATTCAAGGAAGAAAACCTATGATGTAACCCAGATCTAGTAGAGTCAACTAATTGAATATTCTAAATTACCCTTGTATACATTTTATAATGAAATTCATATATTTTTATGTTTGTACTATTTGTATTGAATCAAAGTCATGAATGAAATTTTATATCTTAAAAATACACAATAGTTAAAAAAAAAACTGGAAAATTTTAGAAACATAATTTCGAAAGGCACTTACATTTCTCTATCATCACGATCCGTTTTATTACCAACTAAAATTTGTAAAACTTTACAACTTGCATACTCTTGAATTTCTCTTAACCATTCTGGTAGACAATCGAATGTTGGTTGACAAGAAACATCATAGACTAGAATTAAGGCATGAGCTGATCTATAATAACTTTGGGTTACTGGAAAATAAAAAAAAAACAAAAAAATTATGAAAATTTGAAATAAATTTTGGAATTTCAAGACTTACTTGATCTAAATCGTTCTTGACCTGCAGTATCCCATATTTGTAACTATAAAAAACAAAAAATAAAATTGTTAAAAAAACTTCACAAAAACCGCGCCAACTTTCAATAAATTTACAATTTAATTTGTAATTTAAAAATAAACTATAAAAACTCTTAAAAATTCTAAAAATAATTTTCGTTTTAATTTTATTTTTTTTTATTTTAATTTGCCTCTTGTTAATTATTTAGCTTACCTTAATTTTTTCACCTTCAACATCAACTGTTTTAATCATAAAATCAACACCTATTGTTGCTCCTTGTCCAGGTGGAAATTGTCCTTGTGTAAATCTTCTAACTAAACATGTTTTACCAACACCAGCATTACCAACTAATACAACCTTAAATAAAAATTTATAATCCTCCATGGTATAATTTTTGCTATTTTCCTATGTGTGTGCCACCTAAAATATTAAAAGTGACTCCTCTATTTTGCGGTCTGTTATTTTGTTTTCTTTACTTTTATATATTTTTTTTAATTTAAAATGGTGTGTCGCATTTATACAAACGACTGTATATATATAGGAGTACAACCCTTGGAGTAATAATAAGTAAAAGTAAATGAGTTAAAATGAGAAGACCTGTAAGAGAAAAAGGAAAAATAAAATTTGTCATTAATAAAATTGAATTTCATTTTCTCAATTTAATATCAGAGGTTAAAATTTTCCAAAATAGAGCTATAATATTTGCAAAGTGACAAAGTTAAGAATGTTGAAGGAGGGAGCGGAGTGGTAGAGTGTCAAAAAATCAAAAGGTTTAGGTTTGGATCGGCCTGAACAGATAATTTTCTAAAAATAGTAAACATAATAAACAAAATTTTTTAATTATTTTATTAATTAAGTGAGAAAAGTAATTTTAGACCTGTTTTTTATGCTTCTATTAATTTTAAAATATAAAAACGAAAAATATAAGTATAATACCTACGAGTATAAGCTTTTAAATTATTAATGAATTGTTGAAAACTAAGGTGTGTTTTTATTATAACAGTAAAATTATAATGCGAGTATACAATTTCAAGACAATAACGTACATAATATTAAAAATTTATATGTCATTAGAATATTGTAAAAATTTTTTTTTGTTGTTCTTAATTAATTACTTAATAAAAAACTGAAAATGAATGTGCCCTGAACTAATCAACGTAATAGGAGAATATTGTTTTCTATATACATATATATAAACGATAACATAAGTTTGAAATTTTCGCAATTTTCTGATATTTTGCGTTTTATATTTTATGGTTGCATGTGTTGTCATAACAATGTCATCATAATGTCTGTATTATATTCTCACTTAGTTCTTTGTAATTATTTCATTGTACATTAAGGATACCACGGAATAATGCATTTTTTCAGAATAAAAGTACAATGGACTATATTAGTGGGCATACAGGTATAATTCCAAGTTAAATATCTGCAATAAATTAACATCATATGCCAATATACGGAGAATATTATATAGTTTGTATATTTATAATAAATTTTACATAAAAACATATACATACGCGCATAGTATACTATAATTATGTAACGAAAATATATGTATATCATAGAAGTTAAGTACATTAATAAAAATAGCTGTTTTATTGTGTCACAGTGAAACCTAATTGATAATAAGTTTTAAGTAATAACGTGTAATGAACCGAATTTCTTCTAAATATTTTGTAGGTGTTGTCAGCTTAAAGCAATACAAATAGATATTCTTCAACAAAAAACTATAATAATCTACAGTCCCATAGGCTTGTTTTAATTATTATAGTTTTATTATTAAATTAATTTTCGTAATAAATTTTATCAAACTAAAAATCTTTAAATTTTAACCAGTTGAACCAGTTGATCTACTTTTGTTTGTAATCATCATTAATTGAATTTCAATTGTATCGAAATTATTTTTAATTTTTAACCAACTAAGGTTCTCAAATATTTGTTTGTCTTTTCTCTCCTCGAATTTATTCTTTCTTAAACTTATATTTTCGACAGGTAAGAGTTGTTGGAATTAGGATTGCTTTACTGTACATGACATTGTTTAATTAGGAAAGTACGATTGTATAGCAATCTGAATATCTTTAATATATAATAAATTATAACTTAGTTGATCTTTTAATTAAACAATAGCATTAAAGCAATAGAAAATTTCAAATTTTATTGAATAACATAAAAATGAAAATTCTATTCTTATATAACTACGAGAATTTCATTAGCACGGTTCTGTTTTTCATTAAAATATTTTACTCTATATATTTAAAAAATCTTTTTAATTAAAATTGACTTAGACACAAGATCAAAAATATTTCCTTATAAAACCATAATAAGAGAAAAAATTGCATTCTAAAAGTATATGGCAGCTAAAAACTAGCAATATAGCAGCAAATCAATTAAAAACTACTTTTACTTATTACAAAATCAGTCTTATTTCAAATAATTCTTTGTTTTAATTCAGTTGAATTGTCTTGTTCTATGTAAGAATTAATTTCTATATCAAATCATAAAAATCATTTTTTAATACTTGTTACCATGTAGATTTAAACAAAAAACATTATAAATGGAAAATTTTTCTATAATATGAAAAGTATAGTTCTAATTGAGTTCATTGCCATATCTGTGAATTATTTTGCTTTGCATCTATATAGGTCAGATCAAAAATAAAGCACAATATTCAATTTTATGTTCATTTCAATGCATTTAATTATATTAAGTTATGCTATGCACATTCTAACGATATACATAATTGCATTATTAATTTTATATTTAACATATATACATACATATTTACATTATATTATGTAAAATATCAAATTTCATTCATAAAATGAAATTTCCAAAACCCTTAAAATTAAAAAATAAATTTGAAATATTTCGAAGAAAATCAATTATACATACACACATATGATTACAATGATACAAATTTCCATATGAAGTTCAAGTATATGTTATATAACCCCGTTGATATAATATATAAATCCATAAATATATAAATATATTATATGAATAACAAATAACTGAATGGATGGTAAAATAAGTGACATTATCAGTGAATGCCGACAAGGACAAAATTCCAATTAAATCAATATCCGGTTAACTTATTATCATTGATTTTATACATGTCTTTTCAATGTATATAAACTATACATACATACATACATACATAATGTATGCATATAAAAATAATTATTACAAATAAGTATATAATTGTAACATTTTATGTCGCTTAAATACCTTCTTTCCACAATATATAATTTCAATTCATTCAACAAGTCGGTATATTAAGAATATATGAAGCATAAATATGTGGAAAACTCGTATACATGTTGTATAATCTATACAAAGCCTTGAAGGTGAGGTAAGTTACTTATTTTACCCTATAAGTAAAAAAAAGGTTTTAATTTTAATTTAATTAATTTATACAAATTGAAATGCAGTAAATGTTTGTGGCATAATATGAATGAGAAAAAAGTAATATTGAAATTTTGGTTTCTAAAACGTCTGACTATAGGCTAAGCGAATAAAACCACGAAATAGCATAATTTCCTATTTGTTCTTTTGTGATGGAATTTTAAGACCATTACAAAAATTAGAACTTTGGCTTCATAGATATTGAAATTCCAGTCTATTCTAAAAGAATTATGCAAATAATTTCCCGAAAATAAAAGACTTAAAAAAAAAATTTGATATTGAAAAACTTTTTCGGGGCTTAAGGGCTCCTTGGGTTACTCTGATGTGACATATGACGTGAGGTGTAATGTATCATGATATGTGATGTTAAGGGAAATGAAAAAATAATTGGTTACCAACTAGTTTGCAGTATTAACTATGATAACATAGGAAGTAATCAAATTTCGGAATTGTTATCAACGAACTTAATATATCTACGGATCAAACGGAATTTGAATAAACTTGATTACTTACTAGACCGAGTTCAAAGCGGAAAATCTTATAGTCCACAAGTGATTTTGGTGATTCGGTAGGGGTTGAGACAGCGCACAAAACTAGTTTTTAGCTTTCAAGTAAGAGGAGATAAATGTTAAGCAAATAGCGGTGTAAAAACTGTCTTGTCTTGTCTCTATTACTATTTTATTGATAAGTAACTGATTTTGTTGGAAAATGAAAATTATTTTTTCTGGATTTCTCTGGTTTATAGAGAAATTTACAGTGAGCACTTCTTTTGCAGTTGGATCTCCGAATAAGAGCATAGTCGGCCAAACCGCAATAAAATTTTTTAACACTTTTTTTTTTTATTTTTCATATTTCTTTATTGTTTTTTTGTTCTTATTCTACACATTATTGTTATTATATTTTTATCATTTTCAATGCAGGTAACTCTACCGTATAGAAAATTGAGGAAACTTTATTAACATTTTTATTGTATACCGTTGAATGATTATATAGGATGAGTGCAATACTTTATGTCTTTTTCAGTTTAATTTTTTTCTTGTTTTTGTAGTGCAATATGTGTTTGTATTGAAATATATTAGTGGAAAAGAGCAATAATGAAAAGTATATCGCATTTATTACACAAATAATACAAAAAATAACAAAAAACAAAAATTTTAAATATTTTTAAATGAGCATCCAATTGAAATTTATACAATTGCACATACAATTTTACAATCCTACTGCATATGTATTTAAACAAAAAAAGAATATAAAAATCATTGAATTGTGAATGATTGATTGTGAATATCATAATTTTATTTTTATTTTCTTTTATTTTACAATTTATTATTTCAAAGATTATTTTTATTCTCTTTTTCTTATTATTGTTGTAAACGAGACACAATATAACATTGAGGAGTTGTAAAAGAAGTTATCATTGTTGTAGATTTTTTGAATGTACTTGAAATGAAAAAGTGAAAACAAAATCGAAAAATGCGCCAGACAGTGAAGGGTTAACGCTTCATTGGTTTCATGTAAAATAATAATGATGGTTGTAATAACATGAATAAATGAAAAAAATTATAAAATTTTACAAAATTCTTAAAAAAATATATTTAAAATTTTTAAATGTATTTCGGCTACAAAAAAAAAAATCAACAATTATGAATTAAGTAATTTACAAAAAATTAACACTTGCTCTCGATATTCATAATTTGTTACATTTTATCAACTACTTTTTCATTATTTTCACAACATTGTCATCAATTTGTTTGACACGTGATGTGCTAATTTTTCACCTTCATCAATCATGAAAGTACTTAGAATTATTACAATTATGATAATATTGAAAATTAATTATTAAAAAAATCTGTTATATTCGATTGTATAACAAAAATTGCATCATGTTTTATAACAGATGTTATGATGACATAAGAAGATACAACCGTACAAACCTGAATACACCCTTATTCATATATGCTTATATGTACCATATATCCGCGTATTCTAATACAGAACGCAATTTTAATTAGAAATTATTATGTAATGAGTCATTAATTTGAGTTGAATAAAATTAAGTCTTCTTGTTACTCTAGATTTCGTATAGGTAAGAAATTAAAAAATTCTCCTTTTCAGCATATTTTAGTGTATAAAACTCGAATTGTCATTAAGAAAATTTAATGAAATCATTTTATAGATACATAGTATAA